TGAATGAATAGCACAATCCAAAATATCCAAACACACAAGGAAGCAAGGAACCAAAATAAGAATAAGCAATAAAAACACGTAGCAAAAAACTCACCAATAGTTTAAAATTTTCAATTATCAGACTTATATAACAAAAACAACTACGATACAATGTATAAAGATATAAAGGACAAACTTGAAAATATCTCTGGAGAACAGAAAACTGTAAAAAATAGCATTGCAAATTTGAAAAATAAACCAAATTTAACTTCTATAAATGAAAAATACAATAACTAAAATTAAAAGTTAAATGGACAGATTTAATGCATATGAAACATAGCTGAGGAGAGAATTGGTGAGCTGGAAGATACACTGAAAATCAGAGAAATTATCCAAAAAGCAGCATAAAGACAAATACATAAAAACTATGGATGAGAGGTTAAAAGACATGGCAAATATAAAAAGTTGTAACAAATGGAATATCTTCAATGTGCTGCAAGAAATAACTGACAACCTAGAATTCTACACCCAGAAAAAATATTTTTTTCCAAAAATGAAAAATAAAATAGAGATACTACCAGATAACGAAACTAGAGAATTCATCCCTAGAAGACCTATATTAAAGGGACTTCTAAAAGATGCACTTCAGGCAAATGGAAAGTGATCCAAGGTAGAAGGTCTGATATGCAAAAAAAGAATTTTAAAAATTTAAATGGTAAATACACAGTGAATCTAAATGAAAATGACTATATAAAAATAATTATGTCTTGAGGGATTATAAAAGCTAAAGAGAATTAAAATGTGTAACAACAATAATACATAAGTGGGAACATAAATGCGGTGAAAATGTCCTAAGGTCTTTGTATTATCTAGGAAGAAGTAAGAGAAAGGTTAACTTTATAAAACCGCAGTAAGTAAGCATGCTGCACTTTCTAAAGCAACCAATAATGCAATAGAAAACAGAGTGCTTAACTTTCAATGAGTAGGGGAAAATTAAACTTAAAAAAATATGAAAGAAGACAGAAAAGACAGGTAAAAGAAACATAGAATGAGTGGGACAAACACAAAATAAGATATAGAGTTAAACCCAAACTTACCAGTAATTTCTTTAAACATAAATGGACTAAACGCCTAGTTAAAAGACAAAGACTGTTTATCATACTGGATGCTGTGGGTTGAAATGTGTCCCCCGAAAGATGCTGAGGTCCTAACACCAGTACCTGTGAGTGTGATCTTATTTGGAAAGGGAGTGGCTACGATATGATCACGTTAAGCTGAGGTCATTAAAGTGGGCCCTAACCAATATGACTTATTCTTATTAAAAGGGAAATATAGACTCTGAGACAGACACATATGGAGGAAAGACAATGGGAAGACACAGGGAGAACACCATCTGTGGAGCCAAGGAACACCTGCGGCCACCAGGAGCTCAGAGAAAGGCTGGGGACGATTCTCCCTCATAGGCTTCAGAAAGAACCAACCCAGCCAATGCCTGGGTCTCAGATTTCTAGCCTCCAGAACTGTGAAACAATAAATTTCTATGATCCGAGCCAATAGAGCAACCCAGTTTGTTCTTTTATTGTTACAGCAGCCCTAGCAAACTAATACTCCAGATTTTTTAAAATCATGTTCTCCCTCTCTTTTTTCCCCTCCCCATGCTTATTTGATAAGGACAGCGTTGTCCACGTCCCTGCCTATAGTTTTCCTTGGGGATTCCTCCTTTAGGCTTACTCTTTCTTCATACCCCTTATCTCCTGGGCAGGGTTCTGAGGAAGTGCTGTAGGGAGCAGAGTTGGGGGAAATTGAATACCTGACAGTGTCTAACCTCAGATTTTGGTCTAAAAACCTACCTGTTGAAAATGCAAATCAGCTCCAATAACAAGAAGTTTGTAGCCAAGAACTTAATTCCATTCCTAGGAGTCAGCTTGCTTTGGGGCCCACTCATACCTTTTCCTCCCTGCATTTGGGGGAGGTTAAACACCAAAGGAAGGCGGAACCAGTATCCTTTGGCCTTGAGACCTGCTTGGGCAACATGTCAGTCAAATCTAAGATCCTAGTTGAGAGGCATTTGCACTAAAACTTCCCTAGGAAAACATATTATCCCAATACAATGTACTGCTTGCATCGCAGTGAAGACAGAAGGGGATGCTTGGATGTGGGAAGGGAATGGCCCGGTGTCCTTATGCCTTTCAGAGGTGCACATGGGGTGAGTAGAGGGTGTGAAAGCTGGAGCTTTTCCCCACCAACACTGCATTGGGTTCAGATTCTCCTCTGGGCCCTGAATGGCACTGAAACTGCTGAGGTACAGCAGGGGCGAAGGGCGAGGGAGGGAGGACAGGGTGCTGCTGCTCTACCTGAGGTGGGCTGGGAGGAATGGTTGCATTTCCTCCTGACAGAGGGAAGCCAAATGAGGAGACAGTGAAGTCAGTACTCAATGGGTATGCAGAGAAAGATGGAAGAAAAAGGGAAGAAAAGACTCCATCACTGGATAAAGTGGAATTCAAAACACCAGATCTGTCTGAGAATTATTTGGTGGTATCCTGTCCACTCTGTCCTGTGACCCCAACAATCTTCAGTAGAGACAACATATTTCAAGGAATTGCTTGGTGTGACTGGGTTTCTTACAGAAACTGGTGAGGGGCCAAGTTCTGTGTATCAGCAGGCATGGGTCAAAGCAGCCAGCCCTGCAGATGAAGAGGGGACATGGGACATCCTGCTACAGGCATCGTGCACAGCAGAACTCTGAGCAGGGGGAGCTGGAGCCAGCTTATATGGGTCCACAGAGATGATTGTTAGATTTTCAGTCATCTTGCAAGTTGAATGTTAAATACAGACATTACTTAAAATGACTGAATATATGTACTTAGAGTATTAATTAAAGTATATTAAAGACAAAGATAATAGATACTCAAAACTCATCATTTTCCAATTATTCTACATTTGCATCTGCATGGAAATACAGATGCAAGGGTGGGTGGCTGCACATCTTTTCCCAAAACCATGTTCAAAGACATCACACTGGTGACTTGAAATTGGCCATATTGGGAATATTTAGACCTTGGAAATTGATAAATGCTACAAATTAGGACTGAAATTATTATTTTACTGATTTATAGATTTAAGAAAATGTTAAAAATCCAAGTTAAACTTAAAAGTGTGTCTTGTCTGTAGCTGTTACACTGTAAATAGGACAAGATATTGAAATATTTTGTGAGTTCAAAACTATATTATCCAATTCAGCAAAGAACTCACATCCTTGACAGATGAAAGAAGTTCCAACATACAACTTCACTGTTTACGTTTGTCTTACTCCTTAACATCTGTGAAAATATCAGCTAACATTCACCCGGGAGCTACACTCAGAATGCTAGAAACATCTGCCAGCATACCACTGCCCCTGACCTATGGCTGAGCCCAATACTGACCCCCGCTCCAGCCCTGGGGTGGGGACTGGGGGGGCTACAGAAGTCCAAGGAGAGAGTATCTGCCGTCGGTGCTGCACACTGTGCAGCCAGAGGGAATGGCCCCTGCCTTGTGCCTGTGTAATCATTTTCCGCCATGAACCACAGGTGGTACTCTATACCAACTATCAGCAAGAGGGGGGCCTTAAAAATAGGCACCGGAAGTTATTAAATATCAATTCTTCCCTGGCCTACTATTAAGCTGCATTTAGTGCTCATATATATGATTTTAAAGCACATAAGATCTGTATAATCAAAGAAGCATTGAAGCCAATTCAACATTTCTAATGAAAACACATTTTAGAAAGATGCTTCAAAGAAGTATTGAAACAAACAAAACCCTGTCTTCTTAAATTTGAACATTCTCCTAATTGATATTTTTGTGAATTTGACTTCTTATTACTCAGTGCCAAGAGTATATACTTTGGGGTGGAAGGGGAGATGACAATAAGAAAAGGGAAACAAAACAAAATGTTGAGTTTACCCATAGTCATTAAAAAATTACTTTCTTTAAAAGTAAAATTTCCAGTAAACAGAAGACTGTCCTTTAAGTACTTAGTTAGCTAAGGCTGCTGATTGTTCCCAAATATCCATGCTCCCTATTCCTTTAATAATGGAACCCCTGAAGTTTAGCTCATCACCTGGTCACCCAGAACTACATTTCCCCATCTTCCTTGGAGCTAAGTAAGGCTAAGTAACTAAGTCTGGCCAGCTAGATGCAAGTATAGGATTGTATGCAACTTTGAGGGCTGGGCCCTTAAAGGGGAAAGACATGCTTCCACTAGCTCTGTCCTGAATGAGTGGGATAGTAGGAACTGGAGGAGCCATTTAAGAGCATGAAGCAGGGACTTTTGTTAAGATGGCAGAGCAACAATATAGAAGGAGCCTGGGTCCCCAATACCATCAAGCCATTGTATCAGTACCAGATGGCCTTCCCAGACTTTAACATGAGAAATTATTAGCTTCTATTGTCTTTAAGCCACCATTACAGCAGCTGACTTTGTATCCTGAATAATATAACTGCCAACACTTAAGAACATTTTAACCATTTTTTTAATATTTCAGGAATGAAATTCTTTCTAGAACATGTTACACTTTTCTAACTCATTAAACAGAGCAGACAGAACATAATTTACTTATTTTTAATCAGAAAGCATAATTACTAATCTGAATAATAATACAAAGAGATAGTGAAAAGGTAGAGGGCTGCTAGCCTGACAGTAAGTGGCCTCAGGCTCTGGGGGTTGGTTGATTCATGCCTAATTCCTGCAGTTTTTCTAACTCCCCTTACTATCAAACCATCAAGGATCAAATAAGAAAATACACATAAAGTGCTTTGGCTAGAACCACAAACATAGAAGTGTTCAACAAATGTTACATATCATTGCTATTAGTATTCATTATTATTATTATGTATTGGAGACAAATGGCTATTTTAAAAGTCCAGTACTTTTTTTCTGCTTAAATCAGAATTCCAATCATAAAGACACAGAAATGGAAAATCCCGCTACGTGGAGACATGGAGTCATCTGGGTCTACAGAATGGGAGCTAGGGCTTCTCCTTGGTGCGGACCCTCTCTCTTTATCTCCTAAAAAAGACTTCGATGTTTTTTTTAGTCATGGAGTCTACCTGTTGACCTTGGGGAGTCTCTGAACAAAGGACCTAAATCAATAGCAGATGCTGCAAATGAGATGTAAAATAACTTTTTGCATGGTGGTCAGGTTACAGCTCTTCAGAGAAAATTAATGTTAAGAGGTGTTTGCTTCCTTTGACTTGGATGAGAAGGGGACAGTAAAGCCATAATGATCCTCTCACAGCAGTGAGCTTGTCCCAGCAACGTGGCTGTCAGCCAGGGCAAAGAGAGAGGTGGCCAGATGGACCCTGGGAGGAGCCACGACCTGTGAACTCTGGAGCACTGACAGCCAGTTGAACTTTCCCTTTCCTGCCCATAATTCACTCATGTTATTCTCAAGACTCAGAGAAGGGGTTAAATGTCACCACCTGTATGATTGGTCTTAAAGGAGAAGCTTGCTCCCTACTTGGGCCATAGAGAGTTTCCACATATGCAGGAGCACATGACTGACAGAGCAGCTTGGGGTAGCACCAGGCACGAAGTGACAGACAGCAAGCAGCACAGACCTGTGATACAGTCAGCACCGCCAGCTGTTCTCAGAACCTCCCGGGGGCGAGTCTGCCGAGTCTGCCCTGCCGAAGGCTCAAACACTTCTTATTATGATAATATTGGTAGTATAAATATGTCATAATGTTATTACTGGTATGACAAAATTATGTTATTTATTATTTTATAATGGTAATATTATTGCATACTTTATTGTTCTATATTATTAACACATTATCATAGAATTATGATGATAATTATTATTATCCCCTCGGTGTCCAGCTGTGTGTGTAGTCTTCTCCCCCCAAACATCATCCCCTTCAAATCTAAGGCTATTAATAAACTGCTATAATCTAGCTTGTAAGAAATGTGTCTACAGTAAAGTAAACAAACTCAGGGAGGGCTTGAAAGCATTTTCTTAGTAATAAAATACGAGAACTTTAAGAGTAGACCAAGTAATATCTTATTTTGCTTGCTCAGCATTTTTTAGCAACTTCTGGCTCCGCAACTGTGTCCCAGATTGTTAAAATTGCCAAATTAGTGATTATTTGGTAAATGTAATGAAACCGTATAGTTTCCTTGCTAGCTTCTCCACAATTAAAACCTTTTTGTTAATAGTAAAGGGGGCTTCAGGGTCTAAGAAACTGTCAACATAAAACTGGAGAGACTTAATAGTTTGCCAACTTTATTTCGCCAAATAGGACCTTTTTAAAATTAGCAAATCCTGACAACATACAACACTTAATAAAATAAAATAAACTTTAACACCAAAATAGTAGGAAGCAGATATGTCAGAGTAAAGGATAATCCTTTAAGTGGAATCATTTTGGCTTTATGAGCCTTTCAGATGGTTCTTATTTTCCCCAGGTCATGAGTGGGTCGGAACTTCATGCAGACGGGCACCTGGTTTGGAGCCATTCTTCTCTGACACTTGGGGAGCTGTCTGGGAGCTGCTGGCCTGAAATAATTCCCACCCGTTTCCCCAAGTGTATGGGAGGTGGACTCAAGGAAGAGCTGTGGCCCGTTGTCCCCAAAGCAAAACCCTGTGAGGCGTGGGCGTGAGACCTGCCCACTTAGTGCAGGGCCTGCAGCGCCTACTTAGCATCCCCAAAGCTTTCTTCCTGCCCTGAGGTGTCTCTGAGTGTTAGGAGCATTGAAAACTGCCCTTTTTAGGAGACAGGAAAATTGCAAAGTCGGGTTCATTCCATGGAGTGAATTTCCATTTTTCCTGGCTCCAGAAATGCTGTGTCTGTCAGTAATTTTCATTCTTGGGTCACAACTCCCAGGGGAGTAGGAGAAAGGCCAAACAGAAGAGAAAAGTTTTCAGTGTGTTTCTTCTTCGGCTCCTGGATTTGCTCCCTGGCTCTATAAACAGAAAGGCTGCCCGGTCCAGCCTTCCAGATGCAATTCCCAGTTGTGGGCCACTGTGCAGGTAGCTGAGCAGGAGACCTGCCCCGGGCCAGCTTCAGAGACACAGTTCTGAAGGTGTGGTGACCATGAGGAGAAGGGGGCTCCCTTCATTAGAAAAATAACCAGTGACAGGCCTGGCTGGTTTGGCTCAGTGGATAGAGCATCGGCCTGTGGACTGAAGGGTCCCGGGTTCAATTCCGGTCAAGGGTACATGCCCGGGTTGTGGGCTTGATCCCCAGTTGGAGGCGTGCAGGAGGCAGCCAATCAATGATTCTCTCTCATCATTGATGCTTCTATCTCTCTCTCCCTCTCCCTTCCTCTCTGAAATTAATAAAAATATTTTTTTAAAAATAACCAGTGACAAAAGACTCTACCTAAAAACTTTTATTAAAACCAACAACCCCCAAACAACTTTGAGTCACTTCCCCCCACCTACCGTTTTTCGTTTCCAGCAATTGGAAGAACTGCAGAGAACCAAAGGGATAAAGGCTGAATTCATAACCAGCTCTTCGGAAGCTTCGTCTTTCTGCTGACCTGAAATAATTTCCATACATTTCCCTAAATCTATGGGAGTTAATTGCCAATTTGCATTTTGGTTTGAGCATTCAGATCTCAAGATGGAAACATAAGCTCTTTATTTCAAGACAAGTGAACGAAGGGAAACTTCTGAAGCTCATTTTCTGATGCCCAAAGGCTTATGGGGCACAAGCTCATCTTTCCTCTCCAGTAGCATCTGCAAACATATCTCATCCGCAGGTCTGGGTTGCTTTATGTGACTGCAGTTACAATGGAGAATTTACCCTCCACCCCCAGCCTCTCCAAATCTTAATTTGTAAAAGGGTCACAGGATTTTAACTTTGCCTGAGACACCTCCTTGGAGCCAAATGACGTCAATACCTTTTACAAGCAGGAAACCATGAGTTCACACCCAGCATTTTCAGGATGAGTCCCCTGACTGAGGCTCTAGTGGGGAAAACTCGTCTGTGTCCTTTGACACTAGCCTGCTCTCATGATTAGTGTAAGTGACTCGGGGACATCATCTGCTTCTACTAAAATAAATGACAAATGAGTTCTGGGAAGTGGTTTCCAGAGCCGCCCCAAAAGGCAGTCAGGGGAAGCTCGGTGTCCGAAACATTAATTTAGATGTGAGACTGCATAATGTGTCTTTAGCTCTGACCCTAAAGTGGTCTCGCCTTACAGCTTCCCCCATCTGGTGTAATTTGCTTTGTCCACTTGTGGAAATGCACATGACAGCAACAGCATGCATGGTGTAACCACGGGGCCACGTCCCTTACAGCTCCATTGACAGAAAGGCATTGATCCTGCCTTTACCCAGCTCCCCACCTTTCCTCACATTCCCCAGCGGAGCTCTGCCCACGCACCCGTGCCCCAGCCCGATAGCACTTTGGAGAAAGGAGGTGATGGAGCCATACCTTGTACCCAGGTTTCCGCCCTCTTTTCTTTGGGATCTTCACTGCCGGTAACGAGCCAGCTGACGCAGAATAAAGGTTATGAACTGCCATCTTCACAGGCGTTGAGTGAAGTGGGGGTCGGCCTCGCTTTCTCCCAGGGGTCCTCTGAGACTGCATTTCTGCTGGTGCCAGTCTTGCAGAAGAAGTGACAAATCACTCACAGGCAGAAGAGGCGCTAAGAATCCATCCAGACACAAAGCAAAACAGAAACAGAAGTGTTTGTTTGGTTTGCAAGGCAAACATGGATCCGGTTTGGTGATTTTGGCCATACCACCCCTTACTGGAGGGGAAGACCAAATACAGGAGAGAGCCAGGCACCACGAGGAGCTTTTATGGTGCTGTTGAGCTCCTGGTCTAATTTCAAGGATAGCACATTTCCATGGGTCTCTAGTGCAGTAGGAAAGGTACTGGCTAGATGGAGAGGACAACAGATTCCCAATGCCAAACACAATTGATAGCATTACCAGCAACAAGACAAGTTTATCTATCCATGTCTCAGTTTCCCCAGTTAGTTCAACTTTGCACTGATATAATAATAGTATTAAAGAGACATAATCATTCTCTCATATTCACTCCTATCCCTTTGGTTGGGTTGTGAATTGTTACAACCTTTTTTCCCCATGAATGAAATTTAACAGTGAAAATTAATTGTGTTAAAAGTCAGTTATATCCCTCAATCCAATTGTGGGCAGAGATTTACATACAGAAATATTTATTTTAACCTGATTTGTAATTGCAAAAATAAAATGGACACAACCTAAATAACAAACAATAGGGGAATAGTTGATTTATCTACAGAATGAAACAATCAACTAGTTAAAAGCCTTTAAAAATACCCTTAATAATATGGTGTTGAGTGAAAAAGCATCACATAAATTGCACATAAACATGACCTCAATTACACAAAAATGTATATGGTGAAGAAGTAAAAGGAAACATGCTAAAATGTTACCAATGGCAAAGATGGCGGGACTCTGGGTAACTGTTCACCATGTGAAAATCCACTCTTCCAAGTGAATAGTACCACATACTATAATATTTTTAGAATTAAAAATACCAACAATAAGCTTCTCAAGTACAGTTGGCAAATCTTTCAGCAAGAGCTTGTTGCTCATCCCCAACCCAGAGAACACAACAGATATCATGAGCTCAGGAGTCAGAGTCCCTAGAATGTGGCAAATGAGATAGAGCTTTTGACTTTTACTCAGGAATGATGTCAGGTAATAAAATTAATTTCTGAGAATCAGTGGTACCTAACAGTGGAAATGAGAGGCTCTTGCTCAAAAGGCTGCAGGCAGAGTTGGGAAAGATGATAGAAGCAGTCCCTACACCCTGTCTGGGCAGTATGCAGGAACCAGACTGAGTTTTTATACTCTTGAGGTGGTGACGCACTCTCTAATTTTGGTGGAAAACTTAGGAAATCTGAGTATGATGGAAAGATTGATAGACATGACTACATAGAACTCAAATGTCTTCATATAGTAAAAGTAAAATCTTGAAAATCTGAGGAATCTATTTGCTACATTTGGGTCAACAAAAGGTTAATACAAAGAATTTCTTCAAATTACTACAATGAAAATAAGAACTCTGATTTAAAAATGTGAAAGACAGAGGATAAACAGAAATAAATGGCCAATTATCACAAGAAAAGATTTTAAACTTTACTGGTAACCTCCCCAAAAAGTGAACTGATATCATTTGTGACTCTCAGACTGATAAATGTGAATAACCCTGACAATACTCTATTGGTGAGGGGGGAGAGGAATAGACACTATTATTTACAGTTGGCAGGGGTAGAAATTAGCCAACCTTTCTGGAGGACAATTTGAAAATCTCTTTAAAACTCACACATGCACATTTCCTGATCCAGCTATATTATTCCTAAGGATTTCTCTTAAGAAGATAATCTGGGAAGAACACAAAGATATGTGGCCAAGGATATTTTTTGCATATTAATTATAATAGTGAAATACTGGATGCAAGCAAAATATCTTTCCAAACAGCCTTAGTTTTGTAAACTATTTCACATTCATAAAATAGAATACTTTGTAATTTTAAGTATATATGCATGTATGCATACACTCATGCATATATGAACACTGCAAAATAGTATATATAGTAGGATTCTAGTCATATCTTTTTATGTATATAGATATAGATAAATCTGCATATGTTCAGGCATAGAAAGAAGTCTTCTCTGATATTTCTGGTGATAAAATCATCTTTGCCTTTTTGTAACAATTTGGGGTATTAAAGCAGTGACCAGGGGATCAAAAGCCAAAACCACTAGAAAACAAGAAAACAAAAAAGGCTGAATAAGAAGTACACATTTCCAATAGAAACTTCCATAGAATGGGAATTATTCCCTCATTGCTAATTTTTTATACTGTTTTTCTACCTATGGTTTAAAAAATGGTACCAAGAAGAAAGCAAAAACAGAGGCAACCACCCTCCTTAATACCACCTCCTTCCAGGTGGGGTCAGGTGGCAGCTGGATTACTGCCCTTCCCCAAAGATTTCCCATCATCTCCAAAGACCTCAAATACTCTCCAAAGACATCCTAGCCATGGACACACAACTTGATACAACCAAGAATACAAATCATTTCAGAACTGTCACAGCCCTGGAGGTGGACATGAGATCTTTGAGTTTCTCTGCTTTCAGTTGTGCACTTGGAAGCCACCTTGGAGCAAAGAGCTTTAGCAAACATTAGAAGATTCTGCTCCTAGTACAGCCTAATCATCGAGTCTCTGGATCGCCAAGTTTTGCCTCTATGAAGTTGTTAAATGATGACTTGACGTATTAAATCAAGTGATTTGCAGCTGGTTTCCCAGGTCTCCCTTTTCTGATCAAAACAAGGCTTGGCTAGAAATAGTACAACTGAAACCAAGAGAAACTAAGATCTGGTCTACGAATTTAGGGATGACATTTTACCTGTTCGTCTTGCCAATTTAATGCATGTAAATTAATGGTAGCTCTATCAAGGTCAAAAACAAGGAATGACCAAATCCAAAAGCAGATGTCAATGCCATGGAGTCACCTAGGAGTCAATCCTGAGGCATGTAATCATGTATCCACTCATTCATTCACTCATTCATTTATCAATTCATCCAACAAATATCTGTTGACTACACAGTGAGTGTAAAATACTGTGCTTAGACACTTGGATTACAGATGAAAATACATAAGGTACATCTCCTAACGTATTCACCAACTATGAAGAAGCAGACAAGTAGAGAGACAATAATAATATGTGAGATAGATAGTAGCACAGAGGTTTCATATGAAATGCTGTGAGAACACCATGGAGGAAAGTCAGTTGGGAGCAGTGGGAAGAGGAAAGCACACGAAGGTGACACCAGAGTCAGGATATTCCCAGGCCGAGCAGAGCAAGCTAAATGCACAGAGCTGGCAATGGAACAGGTATGTGCAGGGGCATTTGGTGGTACATGGAGAAGGATGGGCCAGCCAGACAGGACGCAGGATCACTGGCCTTCTGTTGTTTCTAAAAGCATTAAGAGGTAGAAGTGACAAGGGTCTCTAGACTCCTAACGGACTCTAAAGTATTTCCTTCTGTGAACTGCATGGAATGGGTTTCTGGCTTTGCTATAATGCTCTTTCTCACTGCCATTTCAAAAGGACAACAATCCTATTTTCTCTCATTCATGGGCACCATGTTAAATTCCCCACATGCCAGTGTCTCTATTGTGATTCTTTTGTCAGCAGCCTCATATACAACCTAACACCATGCTCCACAGGATGCTTAATTCTGTGTGGAAGGTGGTTTCCAGTGATAAGAATGCACCTTGGCATTTATCTAAAGTTCAGCCATTCTTCAAGGTGGCCCAAGCCCTCCTGCTTCTCCTCACACTCTCACTTCTCTCAACTCCGTCACCATCTATTGCTTGCACCACCAGTTTCAGCAAGTGCTGGTTAAATGATGGTTTATATCATTTTCTCATTGTTTCGCCCACATAAATGATTTCTGTACATTCCTGGAGGCCATGGGCCGTATTTCATATGTCACTTTGCTTTTCACAGCACCTGGTGCAATATTGCACCCACAGAGTGCACCTGGCACCTGTGGCAACACCATTCACCAGGGAGTCTGCCCGTCTCATCTGGGCTGACAGCCCACAGCTGGGCTCAGAGGTATTTTCAATTCTGGGTGTAAATACATCAATATCAACGAACACCTTGATGGTCAATGGAAACCTCATACCAGAAGAAGAGGGACAGCAATATGTTCTGTTAAATTGAGGAAATACATTCTCTTAATATACATTTTTCCCAGTTCTGACACTAAAATTGGGCCAACAGAAGCAAAGCCAGCACTCATCTGTACTCACTCCTACCTAGTGCTCACATGTTTCTCTCTGATGATTTAAGAATATCCAGGGTATCGTGGACTGACAGTTGTCAGAGGGGAGGGTGAGAAGGATGAAGGGATTAAGCAAAGAAAAAAGAAAGAAAGACTCATGGACGCAGACAGCAGTATGGTGACTGCCAGAGGGAAGCGGGTGGGTAGCAGAAGAAGGTAAAGGGGGGATGACTGGTGATGGGAGGAGACTTGGCTTGGGGTGGTGAACACACAGAGAATGTACTATATACTTGAAACCTATATAATTTTTATTAACCAATGTCACCCTAATAAATTTAATTTAAAAAAAGAGTGTCAGGGGTAGTGTTAAGAGGACAAAGAAGCAAATTGTAACAATTTATGAATCAACAGCAACAACAACAATGGTAATGTAGTGAGTTGAAGTAATTGTTTGTGAAAGGCTAAGAGTTCTTTATGAGACTCAGAAGACTATGGTAAGGTGCACAAAACTCTAGTTGTAATCATTTTCATGTAAAAGAAGGGTGAATAGAGTAAAATGTCAGTTATTTTTGCTGATTTTAATAAGTAGGGGAAAGCTTATCCGCAGGTATTTTGTCCTATTAAGTCTCTACCTGTCTAAATTGACATGAACGAGTACAAAGAAACTGTAAATAAGCCAACTTCTCCTGGAAAAATGGGAATTGACTCGGGAACAAGAAGCCCCAGTTGTCCCAAACAATAACCAGGTAACAGTGGGTCCAATAGAACATTCAAAGGTGCTGAGTCCGTCAGATGTCTTCAGAGGCGCTGTCAAGTGCGGACTTGTTCTCTCTCGGCCCCAGGAGGTGAAGCTT